TGCAGCATAGGCTTGATAATAAACTCTAAGAAGTGTTTGGTCAGATTCAGCACATGTTCTGATTGTCAAGGAAAGAGTTTTGATTTTTTTCCCCTCCTTTGGCATTAGGTGAGAGCAATGATACAGACACTGCTCAACTACTAATATTGATCAGGGGGATAGAGTCCAGTTTCAGAATTACAGAAGCATTGTGTGCACTGCAGAAAACACTCTTGAAGGTGTGTGAACTAGTAGAAAATCTTGGTCTGAGTTGGGATAAATTGAAAAGCATCACAACTTGATGGTGCAAGAAATGGTCAGAAGCAAAATAAATGGTACACCTTTCATCAGCAAGCCTTGTGTAGTAACATTCTTCAGTGGGAAAGTGTAATGGGTATTGTTGTATCCAGCATTAATTATATCAGGCATCATGGCCTTAATCATCAGTTTCAAAATTTTCTCTGAGATAGATGCAGAAAATGGAGATGTATTGTAGCATGCAAAAGTCAGGTGGCTTAGCAGAGGCAAAGTCCTCAAGCATTTTTTCAGTCTTCCATCATGACACAGATATCCTTTTAAAGGAGAAAGGAAATGGTCAAGAAGTACTTTCTGAACCTGGATGAATTTTTGATTTGACTTTCTTAATTGATATCACAGAGTATCTGAACACATTGAATCTAAGGTTGCAGGGGAAAGGAACGCTTGTGTGTGACATGTATTCTGAATGGAAAGCTTTTGAAGCAAAACTAAAAAAAATTGTGAAGCAAGTCAGTGAAAGTAACCTTTCAATTTTTCATGCTGCAGTGAACAAAAATTTGAGGACAGGAATTTACAATTCAGTGTTGAATGACACATCAAAGCACTGAACCTGATGCAGGTGGAATTTCAAAATAGGTTCACCGATTGCCATAAGCATGGAAAGAAAATAGGAATTTTTCAGAATCCATTTGAAGTAGCACCAGAAGATGCAAGTAACTTTTTCTAGATGGGTCAGATTAATTTGGCACCGCATGCATCTGTGAACAAATGTTTTCCAGAATGAAAATTGTGAAATGCAAGTGTAGGTCAATACCTTCAGATGAACATTTACATGACATTTTAAGTGTGTCTTTCACAAACCTTGACTTGGACATCAATGCCTTGGCTAACAGAAAACAGCCACAAAAATCACACTGACTAGGTAAACATGTGCAGCTAGATACAAGGATTCCACAGTAAAATATTGTTCCAAAATGGATAGCATTCAAGTTAACATTTCTTCATTGACCTCTGAATGTTTATTATTTATCTAAATCAGTAGGTTAATCATTTTGCTACATTTTGATTTAAAATGTGACCCTCCTTAGGCATTGGGCACTCTAAAGCAGCCCCCATGTTCCAGAAGGTTGAAGACCACTGTTTGACAGTATCATAACAAAATGCAGGAAATAGCCAATAGTATTACAAGAATTAAGTCATAGAGCTTTGGCTACTGGTGGTATAGAAATGTAATTAATAATAATAGTAGAACTTGCACATATAGTAGCCATTCCATTTTATTGTGTTCATGGGGACAGGAACTTCTCTTTCAAAGGTTCATAATTTCAGTCTGCACTTGAATCTTTTATTGACTTGTCCTTTATTTCTAAATTATCTCACTTGTAACTGTGTTTCTGGGTATTTGTCAATATATCTTCTGTTTATGGTGTGTGATTGATCCTTATTTTCCTAGAGAATTTAACAGAACCCACAACATTACAAGAGGTACAGTGTAGCAGATTTACAAAGACTCAAAATGAGTCTTCGTTTTAACAAATTAACAAAATAGAGAGTTGACAAAAATTTTACAGCATGCCTCTTTGGATGAGTTAAATAGGAAATGCCATATTTTTATCCCAAGAATACTATAAAATGCTGTTGCAATTTGCATCTATCTTGTTCAGGCATGCAAGAAATGTGTGGCCCACAATACTCTGGACCCTAGACTTTTCAGTCAGAACCAATTGCCTAATCTTTTGAGTTGTTAAATTAAGCTAAACATCATATAGAAATTGCAGTTCTTCTCTTGCCCAAGATTCAAATGTTTCTATCAAAAGCTTAATAGATTTTGGGAATTAAATGAAGTTGTTGCTTTTGTAAATCTCTGACAAAACGTACCAGATAGAGTGTGGACAAGAGAGATTTAGAAGCGTCTTCCAAGGGAAAATCTATCTGTGAAATTAATGCCAGCGGATTGAAATATGTTAGATCATGTAAGCTTGTGTGAATAAAATTTGCTGGTACAATGAAAATGCGTTTTCAGTGGAACACATTGGGAGTTGATCAATCACTTTCAAGCATATTAACAGCAATAAGAGAACATAACCATTGAGTCTGCTAATTTCCTTTATTCTAATTTACAGGAGTTCATAGTATCACTTGTCATGGCAAGTGTTCTGCCACTCTCTGAATAGTATAGGCCCCAGTCTTTCTCTTAACCTTGAAAATGGGTTGAAGATAAAGCCTTATTCTTTTCCTGAAGCTCTTAGGAAGAATTTTGGAAGCCTAGAATGAAATATATTTTGTTTGAAACAGAAGCATAGTTCTATTTTATACTGTATGTGTTATAAACTGACCAGACAGATTTGGCTATTTGGCGATATAGAAATAAAACAGATGTACCCCAGCTCTCTAATCCAGCAGAACAGAAATTATGATTTGCCCTGTCTGCTCTACTCTTGCTTCAAGTTTGGAAGAAAGGGCAGCTTGTTCTGGAACTGAGATATTTAAATATCTGAGATATTTATAGAAAGGATGGCATACAAAAGCTTTTAACAAACAAACTGTGCTTCTGAGGCTTTTGTAGCACCTTGGAATCACAGTGCTAAACGGGCAAGCCACAACTTTCCTCTTCAGCTTAAAGCTGGGAAGAAGGGTTGACAGAGTGATTTTCTTAATGTCTTTTGAAGCACTCAAGAATGCATGAATGATCCCTGTCTGCATCTCTCCACCTTGAATTTTAGATTTGGGAAGAATAGGAAAATTTTTCTCTGACCATGCAGTGGTTTTTGAAGGCACATTTCAAGCTTTGTAACCAATCCTCTCTACTGAGTCATGTTTGGCTTCTAAGGCCAATTAAACTCTTGAGTTCTTGCTTACATAAAATGAGTTTAATTCGACTACAATAGAGTAAAAATTGTATCTTGGACATTAGTTTCATGTTTCAAATGTTTCAAAATGACTGAGATGCAAATAGGTGCATTCTATCATTATGGATGCAAATTTCAAATTAATACAAGGTGCCTAGAACTGTCATGTAATAATATTAAAATATATATATTTCATATTTTACCTCACTTTCCCACAATGTATTCGAAATTGTGTGAGAAATAATAAAACATGCATATAATGTTTTGTATGGTATATAATTTCACACTGCCAAAAGGGAATTTGTGGAGACTTAATTTGCCAGCATCTCCTTACTCTGACAGACCCCAGAATCTCCAAAAAGGCAGATTCAGAGGATTGAGGGAATGTGTCATGTGTCATGGCATGGAGTTACTGATAATTAGGCACTAGTAATTTCTCCTAATAGAGTTTCTGTTTGTGGAAGGTGCCTCTGTCATACACTTGGAAATCCCCTGTTTATCAGTCTCTCCCCCAAATCCATACCATTCATTAAGATCCATGAACTCCTAAAAGAGGCTTTCAGAGACTGGGAGGACTACTAGGGGAAGGAAAGGTACTGAAATCACAAACACCTACCAAATGAAAAAATAACATTCAAGGTAATTAAAACAAATTAAAAAGCAGTAGCAATTTAAAACAAATATTAAAATGCTGAATTAAAAAAACAATAATCTTCTCTCTAAAAACGAGAAGAGACAAGAACCTGTTGTCTCTCCCATGTAAAGCAGTACTGAAAGGCCCTGTCCCTAGTAGTTGACAACTGTATTTTTTGAGGATGAGCTGGAGATGAATAAAGCGCTTTAAGCTGGATCCAGAAATAGTCTACCAGTTGATATTAAAGTGGTGTAATGTACTGAGATCATCAAGCACAGAACGTTTGGTGGCCACATTGTACACCAGTTTCTGTTCTGAACAGTTTTTCAGGTAAGCATATCAAGAGCATTGTAGTAGTATGGATTGGCTATAACTAAGGTATGAGTATCTGAGGCCAGGCCTGATTTATCCATGTGCAGTATCTGCTCTCAAATCCAAAAGATACTCTTAGACAGACTATTGCTGTCACTCAGGCCTCCAGAGAGAAGACTTGGTTTGAGATCACCCCAGATTGTATACTTGCTGCTTCAGGAGAATGTAACCCCATCAAGAATGTATAATATACCTAGATTTCCAGCTTGCCTGATTACCAGCACATCTTATACTATCTGGATTAAGTTTCACCTATTTCAGCCCCGTGTAAGTGAGAATTGTTTGCAAGCATTGGTTCATGATATCCACCATTTCACTATAATTAGGAAGTAAAAAGAAGGTAAAGACATAGATTACATATTATAGTCCTAACATCTTATTGATCTTTTCTAGCACTGGTATATTTTAAAGTACATGGGAAGCAATAGAGATCCTTGTACTTCGCATACCAAATGCCATATGGTGGAACAGCCCACCTTTTGGAAATGATCTTCCAGAACAAAAATTTCTGTTGGAACATAGCATCCCAAAAATGCTCTATGTATACATGGGATGAAAGCAGTGCAGATGAAACTTTCTTCTGAATTTTTCCCTGACAAACTTCTATTACTAAAGGAGCTTAACAGCTTTCTATTACGTTTCAAAACCAGTTCATATTTAGCATGTCAGTAATGTTGAGCTTGAAGGAAATCTCTAACTATGCAGATTTTCTGTCCTGCATGCCTATAGCTTTTGGGGATGTAGGCCAGCATCGTATAGAATTGAGAATTGCTGTCTTGTGGTTGATTTGCTGCTTTACAGAATATAGAGATGAATAATATCTTTTTGATGCTGGGTTTTGATTTTTTGATTTTTGGAATAGGACATAATATATGTAGCAATAAACTGTAATGTTACACTTTTAACAGAGAGAAGGAGCAAGAAAAGGAAGAACAGTTAATGGAAGACAAGAAAAGAAAGAAAGAGGATAAGAAAAAAAAAGAATCAACTCAGAAGGTAAGACAGGTATCTGAGTATTTATTTATGGTTGGTGAATATGGACATCAGGACCTTCCTTGTAAAGTGCCCTCACAGTACTGAATAAGCTGCAGAAGCATTTGATTTGTCTTGTGTAGTTTTCTGCTTGTGTGCTTGCCTGACAATTGCTGTCTTCTCAGACTTGTGAGTAAATAAAAATTATAGGGTTGCTTTAAAGCATGGGTGTGCGTATGCTTTATGATGGTTTATATGTTTTGGTTATAATGGTGATGTCTAATGAGAGTTGTAAACCAAACATATTTGTAGGATCATGTTGCCCACTCCTGCTACACATGCCCTGGAGCTCAGTTCAGTAGACTCCCAATTTGTCTAAGAAAATAAATAGTTTTTCAAAAACTTCCATCCTCTGCTGAATGGACCCTGTTCACATATAATATTTACCCGTGTTATGGGTTGTTGAACTCTGTGTTGTCGAGCTGTGCACACATGTCTGCATTAGCAAACCATGGATTGGTCATCATTTATTTTACCAGGCTATGGAGCAAGAGCAATTAAACAGAAATAATATGCCAATACTACAGAATCACAAAGGTATTTGGGATATATAAATAGGGGACTGGCCAAATATTTTAATGATAAATGGGATACTTAATATACATAGTTTACTTAATAATTGAGAAAAAATGTAATTTATGTAAGGATTACCTAACTGATACATTTACTGATCAGCTATAAGTAGTAGAACAGTTAAATAATTTTATGTTAAATAGAAAGCCTATTATATCCTTCAATTAGCAATTGAGGGTGTTACTGTTAGGTATTGTGTATACAATGATCAAATTAATATATTCACTTTATGAATCTAATTTTGTTATGATACTGTTTTATCTGGGGAAGAAAGAAAAAATCAATTGCTAATTGCTAGTGGATTTGTGAAGATGTTATAAAGTGAATTATTATTAACCTGATTACCCATGTTAAAGCCTTTTTTGAATAACCAAGTATTAAGTCAAATTAGTAGTTATAGAATTGATAGAAGTAATAATTACTGACTTCTTGTGTAAGTTCCCTCAGTGCTATATGTAATTTTTGTGTAAAGTCCCTTTGTATCATTTTTCTTTCTTTCTATATTTCTTTTCCTTTGTTTTGTTCTTTTTATCTATCAAAAATTAAAACATTAAAAAACAAAGGCATTTAGGATACAAGGAGAGAGGCAGTGAAGGAAGAAGGAAACAACTCAGGAACTGAAAACAAACAAAAGTTTTGTTCAGGTGTTGGAACAAACTCTGTGTAGGGCACCAAACATAGGTTTACTCAAGACCCAGCTCCCTTGTGACATAGCAGAGTATTGGGTGCAGTTTCATAAATCAAGTAAAAAATAAGCAACCAAGTTCTTGTTAACAAAACAGCAAACGTTTATTTACAGTATGTTAAAAACACAGACACTTCACCAGAGTTCATGGATCAGGGTCCATTATGTACCCAAGCCCAAATAAACTCACATGCTCCAACAGGAGCCAGAAACATGGCCTTAAAGTCCAGAAGTATAATCAAAAATTGGTTCCCAAGGCACAGGATTCAAGGCCTGCAGTTGTTCAGGATTCAGCAGTAGACCAACAAAGAACCTCCAGCATTGCAATCACAAACCTCCTTTGCCTGTGTGCAAGCATTTATACAGGGACAGAACAGCAGAAGTTCCTCTTTTTTTAATCCAGCCCTGTGGAAAAATCTAGTCTGAGGTTGACAGCTTCCATCTTTTGCTGGCACTGACTAGAAGGCAGCCTCTTCTAAGCTTAGTCTGCCTGCTGGCTTCTTATCAAAGAATATTCCTACGGTCGAGGCTCCTTGGCTGCTTCTTCCAAGGCTAGTTCTAGCTGTAGAGGAGCAGGAGTACCTGCCTCCTCTTGACTGTGAAATCTAGTCTGCGCCCAGAGAGAGATAAAGGTTCCCCCCTTTGAGACCACAGTTTCAGAGGAAGACCTGAAGGGTTAAATGAACCCTGACTTAGTCCTGTGTGTTGACCAGATTATCAAGATGCTCAAAAAGAATACTTGAGAGAAAACCACAACTGGATTTTTGTGTAAAAGATTTTTGAGTTTGATTCTTGCACTGATTACAGATTTCTGGGCTGAGCACATGATCAGAGGCATCCTGTTCCTTAATTCGGCATATATGTTTTTCCGCCTGGGATGGTATTTTGTGGACTTCAGGGTTCTAGTAGATCTTGCAAGCCTGAAATCTGCCCAATTCTGCTTTAAAGAACTAAGCTGAGAATCTGTTTCTGGATCTAAAAAGTACTCCTAGAATGCAGCTTCTGTTTATAAACCCTGTAGTCTTTGTACTGATCTCAGTTTGCTTGCATAACCACATGAATCCATTCTAATCTGTTTGGATTGGCTCTCAAGCAGCTGTGGATCAGATCCTGAACTCTGGCTGATACATTGTTTCCATAAGGATAGATACAAGACCAACTGTCCATGTTCCAAAATAACTTGCTTTCCAGCCCCATCCAATAGATTGGATGACATTTCCTGCTCACCAAATCTAAATATTCTTATACTGGAAAACTTTTGTTTGATCTCACATGGTTATCTTGGTTCAGAGATGTTAGCTCTAGGTTCTTATATTGGTAGAATGAACAGAATCTGGGAGAGAAGGAAAAGGAACAAAAAAAAAAATTTAGTCCAGCCCCTATATCTGAATATGGGTAGGTTTATCATTTTCAGTTTGTTATATGTAGTAGCCATTAGCCATATCCCAGTCTTTACATACCCAACTTTCCAATATAAGGCTATAGTAGGAAAAGCAATATATTAGATAATTTTGAAATATTACTACTTTTAATCATTCTCACATTAAGTATCCCTACTATTTTTTTTCTCTTGAAAGGAACTCAAGGCAACTTACACAATCCTCCTCTCAATTTTATGTGTCTCAATGAGAAGATCACTAGATTAAATTTAGTTACAAAGCCATTTTATTGCAGTCTCTGCTGTAAGCACTATATTGCAAGCTGTAGAACAGTGATTCCCATGTGGGTGGTGCTGATATTGACCATCTCCACTGGCAGCCCCAAACACCTCTCTCCCCCAATTCCTCCCCCACATGGGAAACAATAAGCTCAAACTCATAGGTCTGATCCATTGTGGAAAGATGACCACCCTCTTCTTGGTGCCATAAAAGGCACACCCCTGTGCAACTGTCAGAGGTTGACATGTTACTGTCTAAGTGGGTCATATAAACAGTCCACTCTAATCTCTCCAGAGGTTTCTACTCCTGGTACTAAATGGTATCAAAGCAGAATGGGGGACTCAGACTGATCCTGGTCCTCAGAGTCATCAGTTGGTACATAACACTGAGCTTTCAAATGGTCATCCTGCAGGGTATCTTTGCACTACTGCAGCGAGACTTATTCAGCCTCAAAGATGCCTATATCCACATCACTGTAGTTTACACCACCATTACAGATATTTTGTATGCTTCCAAATCGGGGAGGAGACATTCTAGTTCTCAGTGCTCCCATTTGACCTCTCAGCTGCCCCAAGGGTCTTTACAAAATGCATGGCAGTGGTCTGCATGCATGCACGCACCTCCAGTTCCAGGGAGTACAGGTCTGCCCACAACTTGATGATTGGTTCCTGGTAGCCTCATCAAAGACAAACACTTGGTCCACACCTCCTGCTGTTTACTGCAGAACTGAGGACTGTGTTTGAATCTTGAAAAATCTGTCCTTTCTCCCTTGCAATCCATCCTCCTCACAGGGGCTTGTCTTAATTCAGTCTCAACAAAAGTTCTCCTCCCAGAACCAAGAGCAACCGCACTGTACAACAAGGTAGCCAACCTCAGCTCAGGAGTGTCCACCATGGCTCATGCATTGCAGAAGCTTCTCAGACTCATGGCTGTCACAGTGGCAGTGGTCTGCTTCATCCCAGACTTCAGATGACACCCCTTCACCTGTTGTTTGTCCACATCTTCTGCATAGAGGATGACCGCACCCTCCTAGACATTCTGCCTTTTGTCCAGAGCAGCCTTCTGTGGTGTACCATTCCTCACAACCTTGCAGCAGGGATCAGCTTCCTTCCCCCAGAGCCAACACTCTCTGTCACCACAGATGTATCTCAGAACAGCTGGGGAGTACACTGTGAGTGCCTGCAAACCCCAGGAGTCATGGGATCATGAAGAGGCCAGCAGAAATACTGGTTTTCAGGAGATACTGGCCATCTGCAAGGCATTGATCACCTTCCTAGCCTTCCTGCTCAGTCAGTGTGTCCAGATTGCCTCAGGGAAGCACATGATCCATATTGCTCACTAAATGAACACCCAACATATGGAATTGGAGCATCGCCAGAGACATTACAATCACGGTGATTCCATGTGGCAGGCAAGAGCAACATCCTGACAGACACTTTTGGCCATGCATCTCTTGACTTGCATGGGTGGCAACTGAACAAGGCAGTCCTCTGAATGAGACAGTCCTCCATGACAGTGAACCATAGCCCCCAACACAACATGCCCCCCCTTCTTCTCCTGGGAATTGTCTTCCTCCAGCAGGGTGGGACTCTGTTCTACATCTTTCAACCATTCCCCCAATCATCAAGGTGATCACCAAAATCAGGAAAGAAAGGACGGACTAGTTCTTATCAGTCCATGGTGGCCAAGCGAGCTGTGGTTCGCCTGCCTCCTCCAATTCTCACACAGGAACTTTATCTCCCACTTTCCCAGGGCCTGATCGTACAGGGCTGGGACTGAGTTCTCTATCTAGACATCAGAACCTTGTACCTCATGACCTGGAGGTACAAGGTACGGGGGGAGCACCCCTACCACCAGAGAACTCATCCATACTAGACATGGCACTTAGCTGTCCACAGGAAGGTCCTACCTGGCAAAGTGGAATGCCTTCACAGCACACACACAAAGTGGAATGCCTTTGCACACCTGGAAGGATTTGACCCACAGCAGACCACCATCAAACATTTCCTACATTCGAGAAGCTTTTTAGGCCTAAAGTCCTGCTTGATGCACATGTACCATGTAGCCATCCTCTCCTAGTCATGCATATGTGTGATGCACAGAGACCACAAAAAAGAAAGGCAGGTTGTTTACCTGTAACTTTTGTTCTTTGAGTGCATTCATACAACCTACCCTTCAGCCCCACTTGCTATCATGCCTTGGACAATTGCCCTTTCATCAGGGGTGATAGGGCCAGAGAGGGGATTTCTCCTCCCCTCTTCTAGAGATCCATGGCAGGAACTGAGGTGATGGGCAGGAGTCTCCCTAAGATACCTGGAAACAAGAAGAGGAGGGGCTCCCACCACCTGAATACTTAGCTGTAAATATTTCCTGGCAATAGGCTCTTTGCAAGTGCAAAGTCCATATGTATGAATGCACAGATGATCACCCAAAGAATGACAGTTACAGGTAAACCTATTCCCAGTGATTGGGACTCAAGGCAGCTTGCTTATCCTTGTTTGTTGTTGTCCACAAAAAGCTATAATATATTAGCAAGCAAATTTGTGAGCAAATGTCACTAATTGCAAGGAAATGCCACTAATTGTGATTCAAGTGAATTGTCTTAATAGATACTTTTAACCAAAGACTGTTTCCTTTTCCCAATTAAAATGTCTGCATGTAAACAATTGCCTTTCCTGTTACCCAAGATTAACCTGAGCAAATATTTCTGTTCAAAGACTGTGCTTCACCTCTTTCCAATCAGTCATTTTTGGAATTTGGGCATTTTGTAGTTACACTACACCCTGACTGTTCCCACTTTTCCTGAATTATTACAATTATATATGAATTACATAAATAGAAGCCATATGAATTTTTCCCTCCTGCTGTTTGAGGAGCAGGCACTTGATTGGAATCTCTGTTCTGTTGTGCTTGGAATAGCCTCTCAAATTATTGCTGTGTCTGGATGTGGACCTTCGATTTCTTTGTAGCGTTTTGAGTCCTGTTTGTCCTTTAGGATCAGATACCACTGAGCTTTTGTTAACTGCTTAAAGGCTTTGCACTTCCTCAGTCTTCTAAATATGATTTGGAAGATTGTCTGAATTGAGCCAAAGAGCAGGTGAGAGTGCCCCCCATCTGTTTTTCCTTTCCTTTCCTTCCCACAGGATAGACTGCGTTTATTGATTCTACATATGTACAGTAATCTTCCTAGATATGATTTGGATCCTCTCTGTACATTCTTCTTGGGCAAAGTGGTTTACCAGTGTGCCAATATTATGTGAAAATGTTTGCTTGGAAGTATTAGTCTCAGTTTTCTTACTAGTCTGAATTCAAAAGTCACTCCAATAATTAAACTCTGTAACAGCTTGGAAAAAACAAATGCTGTCTCATTTTCATTCCAGGCCTGTTTAACTTTCTGAATAGCTTTTATCTTTTCAATGAGAACTGGGTACTTAATTTGTATAGAATTTATGTGCTAGAAATTTAACATTTCCATCTGTGACAGCTCTTTAGGAAACCACTGATGTAGTAGTCTGCAGGGAGAGGAATTGGTGCTTCTCATATTGGCTCTTAAAAAATATCCTGGCTTGCTTTGAAAAATCTGCATCCTTGCTTACTTTTACTTGTATGCACTTATGAAAGCAACAGTTTAGAGCATGGGTCCTCAAACTACGGCCCATGGGCTGGATCTGGCCCACCATGCCCATTTATCTGGCCCACCATATAGGTTTTGGATTCATCGCGCGTGCACGGCGAGGTGGGGGCTTGCTCGTGTGGAGATCATTTTGGACTCACTTGGAGAAAATGATCCCCTTGCAAGCAAGCCTCTGCCTCGCAGTGCGTGTGCCCAGCAGCAGCTTGCTCACAAGGAGATCATTTTGGACTCACTCGGAGAAAATGATCTTGCGAGCAAGCCGGCACCTCTCTGTGCATGCTTGCCCCCCACCCGCACCGCCTTGGTGGTCTGCGCCCATTGCCAGCACCTTTCAACTGGCCCCATGTTTAAAAAGTTTGAGGACCCCTGGTTCAGAGAGTCTAATAGGCCAGTTGTCTGAAGTCAGTGGGCTTGTGGATTTGTTTTATATATGGGTGAAGTTAATTATTTTGTCAGTATATTGAATATTCTTGAGATCTGAATCCTACTACCAAGATTAGGGTCTGTTTTCCTCATTAGGCTTACTTACAAAAATACCTTATACAAAAGTTAGCCATTCGGTAAAATACTTATTAATAAATGTGTGCATACTGATAGGAATACTAGGAGTTCTTTTGCTGACATTTTAACATACCTAAGCATGTTAACTTTCACCATATACGTAATCTTACTTTTAAAACAAGCTTAACTTCCACTTGGAAGTTTAAAAAGTAATGGCATCTAGGTTTATTTATTCTTATTATTTAACTTTCAGGTCACAGATCAAAAAACCAAAGGTAAGCAGCTTTTAATTTTTTTAAAAAAAATTCATTTCTTGCACTTTGAAAAGTGTTTTTTCTTCCAGCCGAATGTATTTTCTCTTATTAGAGAAAAGATGAATCCAAGCATCTAATGTTAGGAGGTATTTTATGAACAGAGCATAGAGAATATATATAAAGTATATTGCATTTATTATTTTTCTAATATTTATGTATCACTAAGTATAATAATATCCCTAAGTGATTTACTTAAAACTTTTCAAATCATACTTAAAATAAAATACTGCTCTAAGCCAAGTCCTCAGTCGGAGGAAAGAGAAACTTGTAAATATATGGTTCTTTGTGGGTATATTCTTCATTCCTTACATCAGATGTAATAGTTCAGGTTAATTGTATATGGGCCTAAATGCATTGTGTTGGTTGTAGCACGAGTGTTTCTGTGTTTTTCATATGGAAGTTTGTTTATGGATGTGAGCTGCCCCGAGTCTTTGGCGAATGGGGCGGCATAGAAGTCTCCTAAATAAATAACTAAAATAATAAATAAATAATAGAATAATTGAGTCATATGTTAGCAAAGGCAGGAATTAAAGCTACTTGTTCCCCAACACTAATTAACTGCCCTCCTCTTCCTTTAAGATATTGGAAATTCATGGAACCTGCTTGCTGGCTGATGAAGAAAATTGTGCTTTTTTAAAAATGGAAAATTAGCATACATGGTTTAAACTATACTCCAGTATGCATTGGAATATGATCTAGTTGTTGCGATATCATAAAACTCCTGATCTAAATACATTCCCCAAGGTCTGCATGAGTTAAATATATTTGCCTGCATGTATGCATATCTTCCTGGCCTGTACTATATATCTGTTTCTGGAAGACACATATTTTGCTACAGTAACAAATACCTTAGTTGCACTGTGACCACACTGCAGCAATAATCTGTACCTGGGTCTGCCTTAGAAAAGTTTCCAGAAAATAGGTTTTTAAAAATGTAGCAGCCAAGCCTGGAGTCAAGTATTAGGAATATGTTCTCCTCTGTTGGAAAAACTGCACTGGTGGAAAAACTGTACAGGCATTCCCTATTTGTTTCCAGACCCACTTGAAAGAGCTAGTTTTGCATTTTAAAAGCAGTACAAGGTTCTGAGTCAGGATATCTGAAAGAGCTGCTCCTCTGATATGAGCCTACTTGCACGTCAGGATACTCTACAGGGGCCCTTCTCTCTCTTCCCATCTTAGATTTGAAAATGGGATGAGGGCTGTTTCTGGTATCACACCTAGACCTTTGGACCTCCCCTCCAGTGCATTTTACCTAACTGACTTCCACTGTGGTATAAAACCTATGATATTGTTGTGGGTAGTGTATGGGAGGTTATAGAATTTTATTGCTGTTTTCATCAGCTGGTCAGCTACTCTGTTTGGCTATTGTTTTAATCTTACTGTATTTTATCTTATTGTTTGTGAGCTGCCTTTTTATAAGGGGTAAAATATGGGATATATATGTTGAAATAAATCCAACTTAGAATCTTCTTTCTTTTTCCACATAGTGAATTGATACTACCACATAATAAAGCTTCCCACTATGACCTAAAATACTGGATTCTCAAAGATCGTACAACCCCCATCATCATCTTGTTTTTAAGTTGGACTTTGAATCTCATTTATTATTTTGCATCCTGTTTTCTCTAGAATAAAGAGATTCTTTAGGAACTCTTTGCAGTCTCCTTGCAGTTTTAACATGAGTAATTCAGGTTCATTTGTAAACCTTACTGGCAGTCCTAACTCTAGGTAGGTTATGCATAACATAAATAGCATCAACTGCAACTTAGAACCTTAAAGGAAATCATATTTAATTTTGTCCTGTTGTGAAAATTGTTCTGTTCATTTGCTTCTAAAAAAAAATGTTTTCAGTCTTAAGAAGTGACTTTGCTGTCCTCTACAGGGCTGCTAGGTTTTCTTAGTACACTTTGGTGGAGGACTTAGTCTTGTTCAATATTATTTGATCACTCTGCAATATAATAATTTTGCAATTGGACATATGAACTAACTCTATTGAAAAATATGGACATTGAGTGGTATGGAAACTATTTGTAGCAATCCATCCGAAGCCATTCAGAGTTGCTTACAAAAAGGTTTTCAAAGTAAAAGTAGCATCAAAATCTAAAAAATGCATGCCATAAATCACCCATGCAATGAATACTTTGCTCCCAAAACAAGATTAAAAAATGAAAATAAGAAAGTTACCTGGCACCCAAAAAGATTAAATATATAACTGTATTAATGAACAAAGTCACTGATCAAAAGGTATTTGAAAGCTTGATACATCTACTGGATGACTTCATTCTACATGTTGCCTTACATTCTATAAGACTGATTTGTTAAACTTCCCTTTTTTACCCTCAAAAAAGCTTTTTCTTCTATATGAGTTTAACTAATGTAGCTGTAGTGTAATGGAATGCCATTAGCCTTAGAGGTCAAACTTCCTTATCCTTTAAAAAGGGAAAGGATTTGGACTAGCATCCAGTTCTCATACCTCTTGATTTATCAGTTCTTTTAAGAATAGTTGAATTTATTTGATGCAGTTCTCTTGATATGCCTCCCCTCTCCGCACAGAAAATTGCATCCCAGGTATAAAAATATTTCTCTATCTGTAGCAGTAAAGACTGAAGCAAATCGTTTAACCCCTCTTCAGTCTTTTGTCTTTTCTTCAATTCTTTTATTCATCTGTCATCTTACAATGCATCTAAAATTTCTTTGACTGAATTATTTGCTTCTGTTACTCCACTTAAATTATTGTTTTCTTTTCATATTAATAGAAATATGTTCAGCAGATTTCTTCTGGTCCAGGTTTATCACCTGAATAAACTGAGGTCTTGGTCATTTGTGTTAGTAAATAGTGTCTCAAGAACATCGAAACAGATCTTTATCAAACTTGGTTTACCTTGTTTTATTGCTCTAATGTAAGCTAAGGGATATGCAAGCACTTTGAGAATCCCCCAGTACACATGTATGCATGTGTGCCTCTCTGCCTGGATTCAGAGAACACTAGCCCATGTTTCAACAGCAACCCATGATGAACCCACACTTGACTCTGCATTATCATTCTGTCTGAACTCTGTGTGCGTGCGTGTGTTCTCCACTTAAATTTTGTATCGTTTGTGCTATGGCATAGAAAACAACTCACTTTGTACTGTACTGTCAAAGTCCAGGAGTAGTTCACAGATTGGTACTGGGGATTCAGTAGAAAAATTTCAGCAGCAGTAACTTCTTTTAGTGGGTCTTCATGGATAGATATTCTGGATTAAATTTCCTTAATTCTGAATAATGGCAGCAGCCATATTAGTTTCATTTTAACAGTGAGTTTTTGAAGCTTAAACATGAGGAAGTTCCTTTGATGAATTTGATTGCCTTGAGAATACATTAGGCAATGACTGTTGCCTTTACTTATACTGTGGTAATGTAAGTACATTTCAGTTTGCAAGACTATTCAGAACACCAGTTTGGTTTTCATTGTAGTGCCCGAAGCGACAAAACCAAGTTTAAGCCAACCAGTGACCGCCAGCCCAATTGGCAGCTCTCCATCGCCACCTGTCAACGGTGGCAACAATGCCAAAAGGGTGGCAGTGCCGAACGGTCAACCGCCAAGCGCCGCCCGCTACATGCCTCGGGAGGTGCCGCCGCGATTCCGTTGCCAGCAGGACCACAAAGTGTTACTGAAACGTGGGCAGCCCCCTCCGCCATCTTGTATGCTCCTCGGGAGTGGAGTAGGGTCATCTCCATCTCCAGCATCTGGAACAAATCCAAACAACGCACAACCAGTAACAGGAGTGCTGCTGCCGTGTGACAGTGGGACTGCAACAGGTATGAGAGCTTCTTTACTTTTTGTTTTTGATACGGATTTTGAATTTGGCATATAGTTTTGAGTCTTCTATTTTACTGTTCTAATTTACAACTCTATTCTGTGAGTTTCCCCTAGTGAAATATATTGTATATAATTAGCTGCAGAAAAAACACCAAAAAAAAGTTCAATGAAGTGTACATAAAATTTTTAAAAATTTTAAATTCAGAGTGCTTAAAAAGTTAGGGGAAACGTTTATAAGAATAATACTGAATAATTCTTTTGAATTGCCCTATTAGCATTGGGAAGATGTTAAAGTCGTCACTGCTGTCCTTAAGAATTGAAATTCAGGAAAGTGAGTATTAGGATGGGACAGACATACATTACCAAAATTATTATGAGCAGGACAGTAGGCCATTGTTCTGCATGTTTTCTGTGGGATAAGTTGGCAGTAGATGAGTCAGTAAATTCTCCCTAAATATTTCAATAGAAGAATGCCTATTAAGTGTTCACACTTCAAGGTAGCTATTGCTTTTTGAGCATGTGCAACTCAAAGCAAGTGTGAAAAGTAAATGGACTGTGTTGATCCTTTCCCAACCCCTCATAGTCAACAGAATCCCTTTTCCTGATATTTTAAACCATATGCCCCTTAGTACCATTTTTGTACTTGTTTTGTCTGTATGTTTAAAATATTTTTCAAAAAGCACCTGCAGTACAGGACTAATGGATTACAGCCTAATTTTTGAGTAACCATGTTTACAATGGAAGTGTAATTCCTGAGCTTTTCTGCTCAGTTTTACAACCTGAACTTTTCTGCTTATTTTTTTAATCAATTGGAAATTTACCCCTTCATCCTCAGTCTCCCTTCTCCATAGCTTGCCCTGGGTTTCCATTTGCAGGGCTACTTTTTGCCCAGCAAGGCAAATCCTCCATAGGCATTCCACAGCATACAAAGCAGAAAAAGAACCCCCTGAACACAGCAGCATTTATCCTTTAGTAAATGTGTATAGAGTCTGGTTATAACACTGAACGCCTCTTACTGCTGATCCATCAATTTTGAACAATTGTTATAAACTTTCTAGAGAGCTTTGACTTTTGGGAGATACAAACATGTAATAAATAAGTAAAAACCAGGATTTCAGTATTCAGGGAATAGGTGCAAACTATCCACCAACTCTACCCCTCTGCCTCAACTGCACATTTTCTTGTTGGCACTGGTTTCCTTTCTTACGGGATATTTTGTTGTTTAAAAAAAAAGATGGATGTAACCCCTGATTAGAAATAGATTGTGCCAATGTCAGGACTCTTTCTGTAAAAATCTGTGGATGAAACTGAGTGATTGCACAATAAATGCCTCATCTTGAAGCACTCTAACTTCCCACTTTCTGAACCGGGAATTCTTTACCCACTATTGTCCCATGTCTCCATATAGACATGCTTGATTATTAGGTTGGATTATTAGGTTAGAGTATTACTAGACATGTCCCTTACTCAGATTAGGTAGCATTCACAGGGTTCAGTTTAAGCATTATTTGTGTCTGTACAATTGGCAAAGGGTGAAATGTAGCAGCCCTTGTTTTGCCTCCAGCACTGTTAAGTTCCATACTTCTTTCCTGAGTAAGGCCTTCCAGTTACATGAGACCAAATATAGGGTCATATTCAGGAACACCATAAGGAATTTATGTAGTCCTAACCCTAAACCTCTTTCCACCTCTGCTGAAACTTGTTTTGGGGTGGAGGAACTGGTTCCTGCCAGTTAATGTAATAAAAATGTAGCAATGGCAATGCCACTTTGTGGGACAGAGTGCTGTGTGTGACAGTGATAGTATCCAGGAACTTAGCCAATATTTACTTTTCAGAGACTGCTATAGTGTATAATAAAATACGGTGTTTCATATGTTTCATATGGAATTCACATGTGTATGTTATGAGAGATAATCTCATAAATTTGAACTCCTTTTAAGCAGTTTCACACAAATATATGATTATTGTTAGAAATAGAATGCTGGGCTAGATGACCACTACCAGAAGAGAATAGTGAATGAACAGGATTAACTGCAACCTGAGTGGTCTGTGAAACAGTAGGAGTTTTTCACTTGAGTAGAGATTGAAATATCCTGTCACTGGAGGGTCACTCCATTAGATTGCTTTTCGAAAGAAGTAAATTTATGGAGTTCAGGTGTTAGCCATAATAGCTAAATGAAAAGCCCATGTATGGCTTTAGTATCGGATGTTAGAAACAAACAAGAGGCAAAGGCTGGTGTGCTTGCCCTCTGCTTGTGAGCTGCCCAGAATTTTCTGTTGGTTATTCTTAGAAGCAGTGTTGGATGACATGGAGGTTGGTTGATCCAAAGCATTACTTATATGTCCTTCTGTTAGTTATGATGAACCTGTTTCATGAACTCTCTGTGGAAAGTGGCTTGTACATTCAAGGCTTGTACTGGATTGAAATTTCTCTCCAGAAAGTAGTGTTCCCTCAGTACTAGCATTGCCGCTAGTATTGCATATTAGAAGGGAACTGTTAACTTCTGGGGGAGACGGCTGCTAAATTGGAAATTGCACGCATTGGACACCAGAGACAAAGATAAATTTGGTAAAATGGAGTTTGGATATTAGTTCTAATGGGTAAAACTAATTAAAAGGTTTAAAGTGGAAAATAGAAAATAAATAGATGACTTTTATCCTATATGGTACAAATGCATTTGGTTTATGATGAAAATAGAGAAAATTATGGAAATATTTGTTTGGATGATTTGATGAAGTCTTACTGACTCAAAAGGTCTTAATGATACTGCATGATGCTTTATGTCCCTAATGATTTCCCTGCTGTAACACCTAAAACAATTACTTTATTGTATAACTTTTGTATGCTTTCAATTTGTTGCTTGTTGGTTATGCTCAGTTTTTGCTAATTGTACCAGAAATGTGTGCTTTAAGACATGAATGGATCTTCTGTTTGTAGTACTCCTATTCAAGGCTAACACAAAATACTACTAAATGTTTTATGGATTCTTTACAATTCTTCTCAAGAAAATATTGTAGAACCCAACTTAAACTAGTACTAACTAGTATTTTTCTAGCTTATATATCTAGCTTATATATCTTTCTTAACCTACTTTTGCAAGTTAATTGGTGCAATAATTACTGGCCACTGGAATTTATTGGACTAGAAGGATATTTTGTTTGGCCTAGTATGGCATTCTGATCTAGCAAGTAGTGGGACAGAATGCATGTAGCATTAAATGCAGTGTGACATTTTTAGGAGCTAAGAGCAAACCTGCTGGTTGCCAGTTGGATCACCAGTGCAGCTAGTTCAGCATCCTATTTCCAATAATGCACAGCTAAGTGCTTCTGTAAAGCCCAGTAGCTGGCCTGAAGATAATTGTTTTTACCTACTGTTTGTCTCCAGCATTTATTATTCAAAGGGAATAGCAATAATACTCAAATAAAGTTTGTTTTTATTTTTATTTTATTTAAAACTTTTTAGACCAGCCCTTACTGTAGTCTCAGGACAGTTTAACAATAAGACAAAATAAAATATTTACTATGACTAATAATCATTGATGGGAAATACCTTCTGTGTATTTGTTGAATCCTATTTTAAAAGCCATCTAAGGTAGTGATCATCATACATCATGGTGAGCATGGATTTCATAAATTGGAATGTAAATGACGGGTTGTGAATAATTTGAAATTCCGATGTTGAATGCAAGCAACTGATGTGTGCTGTTTAAGGTATTCTGTGTGTTTGTAAATAATTCCAAGTATGTTTTATTTGCAGATTCAACAACTGGAGGTGCTGCTGCTTCAAATTATGCAAATTCCACTTGGGGTCCTGGAGCCTCCTCCAACAGCACCAATGCCAACCCAACTCACGTCTGGGACAAGGTGATTGTAGACGGGTCTGACATGGAAGAGTGGCCTTGTATTGCCAGCAAAGATACTGAGTCTTCTTCTGAAAACACCACAGACAACAACAGTGCCTCAAACCCTGGTTTGGAGAAGAGCACTCTGCCAGGGAGCACCACTAGCAACAAAGGAAAAGGAAACCAGTGCCAGTCTGGAAGTTCTGGTAACGAATGTAATCTTGGGGCCTGGAAATCTGACCCTAAGGCTAAATCTGTTCAATCTTCCAATCCTTCAGCAGAGAATAGCAGTGGTATAGCAAGCTGGAGAAATTTGACTGGGCAGGACAGAATTGGTCCCAGTCCTGGATTCAGCAACTTTAACCCAAATAGTAACCCATCTGCTTGGCCAGCATTAATTCAAGAGGGCAATTCAAGGAAAGGAACTTTGGAAGCTGATAATGGTGGCTCCAATGCACAGATTAGTACAAGTCAGACTTCTAGGGAACAACAGTCAAAGATGGAAAATGCGGGTGTTAACTTTGTCTCTGGCAGAGAACAGGCTCAAATTCACAACACTGATGGACCAAAAAATGGAAACACTAACTCCTTGAACTTAAGTTCACCAAACCCAATGGAAAATAAGGGAATGTCCTTTGAAATGGGCTTTGGGAACCCCACCAGGAGCACTGATGCCTCTTCACAAAGCACTGGCGAGAGAAAGACTGGGAATGTTGGGTCTTGGGCTACAGTTAGGGGGCCTTCTGGAATGGACAGTGCTTCTGGTCAAAGCAGTTCTGGAAATCATGGGAACAATGGAAAGGATAGGGAGGACTCATGGAAGGGAGCTTCTGTTCAAAAATCAAATGGGTCAAGAAATGATTCATGGGATAACAGTAACAGGTCTACGGGTGATGGGTCTTGGACCATTGGCCCTCAACACTCTAGTGAAAGTAAATGGAGTGAAGGGAACAAAATGACATCAGGGGTGTCTCAGGGAGAATGGAAACAGCCGTCTGGGTCTGATGAACTGAAGATTGGAGAATGGAGTGGTCCAAACCAACCAAATTCTAGCACTGGAGCATGGGACAATCAAAAGGGCCACCCCCTTCCTGAAAACCAAGGTAATTCCCAGGCTCCCTGCTGGGGAAGATCTTCCAGCTCTACAGGAAGTGAGGTTGGAGGTCAAAGCACTGGAAGCAACCACAAAGCAGGAAGTAGTGATAGTCACAATTCTGGACGTCGATCATATAGGCCTACACATCCTGATTGCCAGGCAGTCTTGCAAACTTTATTGAGCAGGACTGATTTGGACCCCCGAGTGCTTTCAAATACTGGCTGGGGTCAAACTCAAATCAAGCAAGATACTGTTTGGGATATAGAAGAGATGCCAAGGGCAGAGGGAAAGGCTGATAAAGGAACTGAGGGGTGGGAGAGTTCTGCCATACAGACAAAGAGCTCAGGGGGCTGGGGAGATGCACCCAGCCAAAGCAATCAAATCAAGTCTGGATGGGGTGAGCTCTCTACTCCAACAGAGTGGAAAGAGCCCAAAAACACTGGAGGATGGAATGATTACAAGAACAATTGTTCTAACTGGGGAGGAGGAAGACAAGATGAAAAGGTGACAGCATCTTGGAATGAGAATTCCAACAAAGACCCAGGATGGAATGGGCGACCACCTAATCAGGGTTGGTCTTCTGGAAAGAATGGCTGGGGAGAGGATGTTGACCAAACAAAAAACAGCAACTGGGAAAGTTCAGGAAACAAGTCAATGTCGGGTTGGGGTGAAGCTGGTCAGAATGAGATTGGGACTTGGGGTAATAGTGCAAATGCAAATTGTTCTTCAAAAGGAGGGTGGGATAATAATAAAAGAACTCCAGCATGGAATGATACTGGTAGACAACCCAATACCTGGAATAATCAGCAACAGCATCAGCAGTCAGAGGCTTCTGGCTCCTGGGGTCCACCATCACAGCCTCCAGGTAATGGGAGGCCACCCAATCCTAACTGGAACAATGGACCACAGCCAGCTGCCTCAAAGGATGAGGAACCCAGTGGCTGGGAAGAACCATCCCCCCAATCAATTAGTCGTAAAATGGATATTGATGATGGCACTTCAGCATGGGGAGATCCCAGCAGTTACAACTACAAGAATGTGAACCTGTGGGACAAGAACTCACAAGGTGGACAAGCTCCACGAGAACAGAATCTCCCTACTCCAAGACCTAGCAAAGTACCACCCTCAGGTACTCTATTTTCCTTGTTCATTATAGCATATAGCAGAAACTATTCACTACAGAACTAAACATAGAAAGAGGATAACTTCTAAACATTTAGCCAGGACTGTGTATCTAAATTTTCCATTAAGACACATGCAAGGTCATAAATGCTTAAAGTGTTCTTTACACAATTGAGTTAAAAAGTGGAATTACTGCAATGCCTGTCTTATTCTGCTTATGAAATGTTCCTTGCTCATCAGTGAAGCTATTTGCCTGATACAGCAATATATAGAGTGGAATGTTCTGAGGAATCATGTAACACAGAATTATCTGGTACCAGTATTATTCCAGAATCTCATCTTAAGGAAAATCTGGCCTGTGGAGGTTCACAGCCAGTGCACACAGCCTGCTTTTGAGTTGTTCAAGGGATGAGGCTTTGCCTCCAGGAGCTTGTAGCCCCTGAAGTAATTTCCCTATCCCCCAGAGTAATTCCTGATGTTAGCCCCAACACAACAGGGATTCCTCCGTGCATGTCTCCAGCTCCCAGTTGGAAACTTAACTTTTCTTAACAGCAGGAATGTGGGCGGTAGAGGCCTTGACAAGGACTGGGAGGAACGGCTGTTCTTCCCAGCATTGGCTAAGCCTTGCATGATCATCAGAAGAAGGCTCCTGTGAAAAGGTGTTTTTTTTTAATGGCCCACATTATCTAATTTTGTCTTAAATTGTATGAGTTCAGGATATTAGAAGAGTGTTAACATTAGGAGAGTGTTAACATAGCACATGATGAGGAGGATGAGGATGATGATGAGGAGGATGAGGATGATGATGATGATGATGATATACAAACAACTTAGTGGACATGCCATGTTACTCTGAAACCCTATATATGGAAGCACCAGGGGCCCTTTCTGTCTTGCAAAAGATTCATGGAAAAGGTGATTTGCATCAGATAAGTGGACAGATTAAAAAGAATACTTATTTTTCCCTGCCCATTACTTCCCTCACTGCCAAGAATAAGTACCACTGACCATTTGGAACATTCAGGCTGTGATGGAGAGTTGACATGGCTGAACCTGGCACAGGATGGATTACTAAAATAGTTAAGAATCCACCCCACAACCTATGAACTGTGTTTAGATTGTGGGTGGCTTGTTAACCAGTTCAGCAGCTCACCCTTTCTGGGTTTGGCTAACCCACAATAACCCACGTTGGCCATCCCTCAAGGTTTGAATATTCAGAATGGCTGCTGGCACACACTGCCATCCACCATGGCAATTAACCAATCCAGGCCGCACACTTGTTTTTTGTTTTAACTTTTGTCAGTGTTCCATACCTATTTTTCTTAGCAAATTGGGGGTAACAATTTCTTCCATTATTATATATTGAACCTCTAATTATTAATTATGATTATTTGTGGTTGGAGTAGGATCAGACTCGTAATTTCAGTACAAAGTATCACAGTATCACACTGCTATTTGTTTATATTCTATCACTAAGAATCAAGTAACATAAGATGCAGAACAAATATTGAAGTGGAAGAATGACAGAATGGGGTCAGCTGAATAGCAAGATGTAGCCTTTTTCCAGTGTATAAAAGCCACTTCAGTTCATAATAAGTCTGTAATAAAAACTCTTTCTATTTGAAGTCTGGAACAAAAGCACACCTCCAGCTCCAGATAATGGTACTGCTGCTTGGGGTGAACCAAATGAAACAAGCCCTGGATGGGGTGAAGTTGATGATGCAGGGACTTCAACCAGTTGGGGAAATGGACCCTCCAGTGTACCAAATGCCATAAAACCTAGTAAGTACCTCTTAAAGCATAAAAAATATTAATATGAAAAGCTATCTGTTAGATTCAGTTTCTGTAATGATTGTATGACGAACACATTTATTTCTTTTGTCAGTTTTCTTAAGACATGTTCATGGATTAGTATGAAATGCTATACATTTGATTGCACTGCTTTAAAAATATTAATTTTTTATAAATGGTTAAAAATTCCAAAATCTGGTTAACATTTAAAATTTCAAGTAACACAATACTTTTCTTTGGACTTAGCATCTTAGGAAAAAGTAGTATGGGAAGTTTTTACTTGTATAGATTTTCACTGCTGATGTATTTGCAGATTTTTAAAGGGAGTTTTTGAAATGTTTTTGAATGAAAGTACAGTATAAAGCCCTTGACTGGCATTGATTTCAGTGCTAACACAGTAATTGAAGAAATTTAAATGCTGACACAGGAGTAGACTATATAGGAGGATCAAAGAGTATGTCCAACCTGACAAGAACAGAAGGGAAGTATAAGCACTATAATAATCAAGGGCAGTGAAATACCAAGGACAGCTGGAGCCACTGCCACTAACAGTGTGTGAATAAATGAATGAGGATTCTGGCTTCCAAATTGGGGGTGGAAGAAGGTCTGACACTAGACCTTAAGACAGGGAAGAGTGACTAAAGGGCATTTGTCATTCATATCTGATTAATGTCACATATATGCCATGTTTCCATGTCCTTTTATAAACATGAATTAGGCATCCAGAAACATTAAAAAGTGACATGAATGTCAGAAATAAGGGTGGAAGGGGTTCTTCTACAACAAATTAGGACTGGATGTAGTGAAAGTATGCTTGGGCATTGCCAGTGTTATCCCTAATGTGTGTCTTGCTAGAACAGTCTTGGACATATCATGACCTATATCTTCTCTATCTGATAAACGATAAATTAACAGTGTTTGTTAAAATTCATATAGCTTTCAAGAAAAACATTTTTGTCTCCCTTGCTTTCTGCATCATCCGTTACCTTCGTTGTCAAATGAGCCTTTGTTTAATAATATACCTAGGGCCATTATGGAGTATCTACAGTATGGAATTAACAACAATCATGCTTGCTAGGTCCTGTATTATGCCTTTTTGCCAAGGTGGCAGACAGAAACAGATTCTAATCTCAGGAACTACTACTGTTCAATTCTGTGCTTTGTCCAGACATAAAACAAAGTTTTGGCAAGTATTTTAAGCAAAATCTTCTTTTTAAGTATAATACGTATCAATTGTGTTCTGATCTGGCAGAGATTATAACATATTTACCTTATTCCGTGTCAATGACATATTTATCTTTTTGGTCAAATCACCAAAAAGAGCATTGTAATAACTAACTTGGGAAGTTATGTGGTTAGAAATTGGAAGTTGAAAGAGTTAGAACTCTGTAGTATGGTTGCTTCATGGGTCACTGCCTTGTCATGGCGAAGGGGCTTGCGTAGCTCAATGAAGCTATGAGCTATGCCGTGCAGGGTCACCCAAGACGGACAGGTCATAGCAGAGATATAGCATAATAATTTGGCCTTCACAGAAGATAGGTAGGAAACCATGTTGATGGAACAAAAATTAACTCTGTACTAAAAATACAGTTTTAACAGTTAAAGAATCAAAGGCATTTTGATAGCTGCTATAGCACCCATAAACATTTCATATTGTATAGGTAATGTCTAAGAAATACTGGACTCTCACTAATCAGAATTAGACATTTTATTGTTGAGTATGAACAAGGGTTGGATTTTGCCCCTTTCATTCTAATTAATTTTAGAATGCAGTTGTATGCATCCTGTACTTTCTTTGGACTTGGCAATAGAGGGGGACTTTGTTCCATTGATTTTGCCATACAGTGTAAAATGTATCTGTTGGCACTCGCAGTTAACTTTTGACTATGTTTTATTTTCCACTGAAGGTTCCAAACCACCTCAGGATGGCTGGGGAGATAATGATGGGCCAGTATCAGGAACACGGCATTCCAGCTGGGAAGAAGAGGAGGAGGGAGGAGTCTGGAACACAGCAGGCTCTCAGGGAAGCAGTTCCTCCCATAATTCAACAAGCTGGGGACAAGGAGGAAAGAAACCACAAATTAAGGTAAGAAAATGTTTATATGATAAAATGGGCTGATTGTACGACATGACAGTCCACTGTGGGTTGTTTAACCTGTGATGAGGTGGCTGTTTGGTATATCTAACCCCCTTTAAGGGGTTGCTGTGTCATGCAAACCCAGAGAGTTATTGGAAGGGTTAAACAACCCTAGAACAAACCATAGTTTGATACTATGAACTCACATTTAATGAGTTTGGTCTTAATTTTGGTGTTTTTAAAAATATATTTGTGTTTGTGCATTCATATTCTATTGTTATATTCTATTTATCTTGGTTTTATTTAATTTGATAGCTTATTTATGATTTTACTGTTATTGGTCTTTTGTAATTGTGCATTGTCATATTGTGAATTGTATATGCCATCCAGAGAGGCTGTGGCTGGTGGTGGGGGGGACATATAACTCAAATGAATGAATACAAGTATTTATTTACAATAAATAATTTTAAAGGCATACATACATACAGGAATTCCACAAGCAGGAATATGCAGTGGCACCCATGAGCATCATAATAATAATAATAATAATAGCTCATCATGGGTTAAATAAGCCATGATGAGACATGCCTTCTAGTGTTAACTAGATCACTCTTTCTCTAGATAAATTAATAAAAGTTTTTCTCTTGACTTAAAAGAGAATCTTAATTATGTAGCTTTGCTATTATCGAAAAGGGATATATGTGTAAATGACTGGTTTTTTATTGTTAAATGCAGTGCTGCATCAATGTCTATAAAGTCTTCAAGCATAAAAGTTTTTAATTATTAGTGTGTGCATCTTAGAAATAAGTACCCCAGAGCTGCTTATATTTATCATCTGCTCCATTTTCCTAAAGCTTAATGAGTGCCTTAAGCTGAGAAATAATGCTTGCAACAGCATTCAGTAATTATGTTTACCATTTCAATCTTCAGTTCTAACAAAACCTCAGTACAGGAATCTGTGGCCAACTAGTAGCTTGTCCAAAACCTTTTTAATATTTTTAATGGCAGCTGAGATTTGAATCTGGAAATTCTATCGTTCTTAACTGCTATGCTACACAAGTTATTTACATTGATGATTCTGATGCAGTGAAAAAATAGAAAGTGACCAATTGTATCTTTGCTTTTAGTGTTCATTAAAAGGTGGAAGTAATGATTCATGGATGAATACTTTATCTGATCAGATTTCAAATATGGGATTGCTGGTAAGCCTTTTAAAAAACCTATTTATTTACAGAAATGGCTTCCTAACAGATACTTGACAGGCTTATAAGCAGTCACCTGCCTGGGCGCTTGCAGTTACCAGGCAAATAAACCTTTGTAAGCTGGATGAAATGAGGCTGTCTTCATTTTGAGCATTAATTTGGTTCAAATGGTAACACTGACTAATAAAAAATGGGTAGCCTTATTTGACTGATTTATGAAATTTTTGATGATTTGCTTGCTTCATTATTTTGTTTGCTTATATATAGCCATTTATATGGCACTCATAAGGAACAGCTTTGACAAATTGCTGACAAGATCATCTGAATATGACAAGGCAAGGGGCTTGCCTTGTCTCATGCTTACTAACCAAGTAAAAATAATGTATTCACCCAGATATCCTGTAAAAAATTAGTTAAATTAAGCTTTTCTTTTCATAGAGGATTTTGGCAGCATTTCTGTGCAAAGAAGACTGACTTCTTGTAAACATGCATAGGAAGGATCATGTGCTGTTGAGCAAATGGAAAGAGAAGGGAATGATGATAGTGAAAGCATTTTTGCTATATACAGATTTTAATAATTACCCAGGACTACCTGAATTTTGCTGAGTGGAACAATCTCCTCTCACATCCCCATAGTACAAAACACCTCTCTGTCTCCACCTCTGTGTCTCCTGATGAATCAGTCACTTAGCATCTCAGCACAGTACTTCTTTCCCTCCAGACCCAAGGCAAATGCTAGCTGGGGCTGTGAACAGCTTGATTTTTCTTGTTCCTCATCTGTTAAACTGCACCAAGCATAGTTACCTTCCTACAAATCTACAGGAACCTTACTTGAGCCTTACTACCCCTTGCTGCTGCTACTCTCTGCTATTGCTGTCTACAAAAAATCTTGTTCTAGGGCATTAAGTGTCTGGATGTTCTGTATAATTTAGCATTCTAGGGCCCATTGTCATTTAATTCCAGGGCTCCTGAGTCCTGGACTAAGGTATTTACTCTTGGCAAAGTGGCCACTACATTTATTGAAGACTGAGTTAGAGTATTGAGACAAGCAGCTTATTCCAGTGATTTCCAAAAAAAGAAGAATCTGGAAGAAGTAAAGGTGCAGTGATTCAGGTGTGCACATAGTGTCTTCCAATCTAGGTATATGCCCTGTCGTTTCAGTAAAGATTTCAAGTTTTGCAAAAATTTGCCTAAAATTCTGGGCAGTTTGGAATGTTTCTGAGTGTGGTTCTCTTTGCACTGTCCCATTTTCTTAAATAACTGTTTTTGTATATCTGCAGTCCAGCTGAAAAAGGCAATCTATGCTGATAATTTATTACATAGCTTAAACCTGTCCATAAATTTCTATTTGGTGGTAATTAGTATGGGGCCACAGCTCAAATCTGTAAGTATCACTTCTATATACAGGACTATAGCTAACACAAGCTAGGCCTGGGCTGATGTGTTTGAGGAACATGCCCCTATGTTTCACTTTATGAAAATGTTTGGCATATGGAAGACTCAGAATGGTAAATGAACTATGGAAGGGTCATGATAATGCTTATAGTAATTCTTGAGGGTTACCCAGATTTTGGTACCAGCATGTGGATTTCAACCTGAACTCCCAATACGGTAGGCTGAACAGTTGCACCTTTCCAAAATTGTGAGAACATCTTGTCCCAGATTGCTTGCAGAAAAATTACTTGGCAGCACACACTAGGAGCAGTCATGTCTTCAGGATGAAGTAACATTCTGGCTGCTCTTCTAAGAATATAATCCCTTGACCACAGAAACATAAGGACAGAGGTCCATTTCCAGAGCAGCTGTCCAATTATCTTTTTCTTTCTCTGTGGAATTGATTCCTGTATGTCAGTGGTATTTATAATAAACTTTATTCAAGTCCTTTTGACACTCCATTCCTAAGTTACTCTCATAAATACATGTGTGGGGTTTTTTTAAAAAAAATTCAGAATAATATCTTAATACAACAAAAATATTTTGCATGTTTTCCCAGTGTAGAATTAGTATGCTTTTTTCTTTTTCAGAATCAAACTGAGGACTCTCCGAGCAATAAGATGGATTTATCAGTAGGTGTGTATCTGATATGGTACTTGGCTTATGATGAAATGTGTAACTTTTAAGTGTAATAGCTGAGCAGTATTATGTGGCCTTTTTAAGACCATTTTTGATAATGATGAATAGTGTAAATAATTTAGAAATAAATAGGTTTAATGGGAGCAAATAAAGGAAGGCCTGAGTAGGATGGTAAGAAGGGACTCAAACTCTACTTGCTGAATTTGTGAACTGTGATAAATGGATTTCACTCTGCTGGAGATTTCATAATGATTCTTGTATTTTTGGGAGAAATGACCAAATATAGAATCCACTCTCTAGACAAAGAAATACTGTTTTGGTGGTAGTACATAAAGAAGATGCTTTTAAGATGTTGCCCTGGTATGCAGGCATGAAAATATAGTAGGGTTGTTGTTGGCAAGCAGTCACTATAAAATTATAAAATTTCTTCCCCCAGCTGTTGTTAAAATCCCCAGTGATTCCTTTGCACAAGACAATCATGGTCTACTTCATCAGACTTTCTTTTACAACAATGTTTTTGACAGAGGTAATCGGGGTTTTTTGACAGGGACATGTGCATGTACAAAAAACCCCTGAGTAGTTCTGTCAAAAAGTCAACTGTCAAAACTCTGTGCTCCCATAAATTAAGTTGGCTCACACTTCTTCACCGTCCCAAGCACATAGTCTCAGGAAAGCATGGGGAATATGGAGGACACTGAGAAGAATTGTGTTTAGCCGGATAGAATTACAGTTTCTCTCTGGGAATTGGATAATCTACAGGCCAATCCCTTTCATAGGCAAAGATCACTTACAGCTTGACAACCTGTCTTTTGACAGTAAAGAGTGTCTGTATTTCGAGCCCCTCTGCGTTCATGTCCAGGGCTGTTGCCTGCTACATTTTGACAGCAGACACCTCCAAGACATTACCTTGGTGAGGCATGCAAGTGCACATCTATGCACTTGTGCATATCTGATAAAAAATAAAAAGAATGCACCAAAAATGTATTGCACGGAAAAGTAAAAATGGAATGGCAAACCCATGGGAGCCTCTCCATTGTGCTGGTTGGACACTTTGAAGTAGTAATTGACTCATAGATTGCAAAAAGTGGTATCTGTGGGAATAAAAGGTTGGAAAAGCCACAGTGAATGCAGTGGGAGAGGAGACAAGAAAAGTCCTCTTGTGTAGTCCCCTGATATCCCTGTGAGCAGACTGATGGGGAAGTGAGCCGGATTGTATGTTGGATACACCATGGGTTACAGTCATGAACAATGTACGCATCATATCTTACTCTCAGGATGAGTTGTGACATGTGAGCCAACATAATCAGTTGGGAGAAATTTGTATACATGATTTGGTATACATGGATACCTCAATCACTAATTTTCTTCCTACTGCCATAAACCTATAATAGCATTTTGCCCAGATAACTGTAATTCTACTTTTTCCCTCAGGTGGCCTCCAGGATAAGAAGTTTGATGTAGACAAACGAGGCATGAATCTCGGAGACTTCAATGACATAATGAGAAAGGGTCGGTCTGGTTTTCGTCCTCCTAATTCCAAAGAAATGGGAACCCCAGACAGCGGGCCTTATTTTGAAAAGGTGAGAGAGACTTCCTTGGTAAGAATCTACTACAAATGAAGCTCGTTTTTCTTGATACAGCTTGAGCAATCCAGAAATCTGTGAACATGAAAGCAATGTTTTGATACAAGTAATTGGTATAGGGAAGGGAATGTGAATTTGAAAAATTAATGACTATATCAGGGGTCTTCAAAATGTTTAAATCGGGCCAGTTTGCCATCCTTCAGACTGTTGAGGGGCCAGACTATAGTTTGAAAAACATATGAATGTATTCCTAAGCACACTGCAATTTAAAAAAAAAAATTAAAATAATTTAAAAATTAAAAACTGTTTGCTCGGCTCCCTTGGGCTGCAGCAGAAGCCCAAGATGAGGTGGGGAAGAGCATGTCCATATTCAAGGGACACAGCTACAACACAACCAATGCACTAAATATAGTATTTTGCATACAATGCAGCTGATGACTGCAACTGGCATTTACAAAGAATGAAGCAAAAATACTAAGGATAAATACTGTTAATGCCACTCTTAGTATTTGAAGCAAGTCAGCCCAGAACAATTCCCACAATGCACAATGGCTGTATTTGGATGCAGAGCTAATGACTACGATATTTTAAGTGCAACCTTGCCAAAACTGGCACTGTCCGGATGAGTTGGACTACAACTTACATTGGCCATGCTGGCTGGGCATGATGGAAATTATAGTCCTCACCACCGCCCCAGTTCCAAGGGAGCCGGAGCAGGAGCAGGAAGCTGGAAAGGTGAGCGCAGGGTGGCTCCCCCAGCCAGGAGAGGGCTGCAAGGAGGGAGGTAAGAGCTTCTTTCCAAGGCGAGGGGAGGTGAGGAACGGGGCCGTGGCTGACTGAGCGGGGTGCCTTCTGCCTCTTCCCGCTGCGGGGGGAAGAAGCATGGCAGCTGCTCAACGGTGGCAGCTTGCTCATAGAAGACGGCAGCTCCCATGCCTCTGCCATGGCCTTCTCTGGGCAAGCCACCACCGCCATCGAGTGGCTGCCCCCAGGCTCAGCAAGGCGGCTGCGGCTTGGCCCACAGCCTGGGGATAATAATTAAAATATTAATTAAATATAATTAATCAATCACATAGTTAAAAATATATTTTAAAAGTTATATTTTTCTTACCTTCAGTCCTTTTTTAGTGTCTTCATCTCTCTCTCTTCTGCCCTCTTCTTTTCTGTTTCCCACTCTGTATTCCCGCTTTGTATATGCATGCAATGGGGGAGGGAGGAGAGAGAGCTGGTGCACGCGCAGTTGAGCTTTTACAATTAGGCGCGTGTGCCGGCTCTCTGCTCAGTTTCAAAGAATGCCTGTGCTGGGTCAGAGCTTTTGGACTCACTCAGAGATTCTTTTCTCCAAGTGAATCC